CCCCCCCCACCCACCAACCCTTGAATAAGGCTCTGGGTACGAGATTGCCCCATTTTCCCGTCTTGTGGACTGATAAGTGAAGTTTTTCTACGAAAAGAACGTTTCCAGTACCCTACGGTCAAGCGTACTCAAGGTAGCTTACGTGAACATCATTGAAACCTAACGACGTTAAAAACGACGTTAATCCCACGAGATTTAATGCTAAGTGTTATTTTATGGTTTCTTTTACAGGAGGGTAATCTAATGGAAACTCTAGTAAACATTGAAGTCGACGAAGAGGTAAAGATCATGATATACACCTATTTCAATAAACGTTGTCATGGCCAAAGGCAATAGGCGATAGGTCATTCCGACATGGAAATGGTTTCGTTGAATACAAAGAACATTGAATCAATCTCGACAATAAGGTCCATGTTTTTGACGAGAATAAGATAGAAGCAGAAAGTCATTCCAGCTATTCTTGGATTTTGGAATGGCCTATCTCCTATCGCTTTTCGCCTAAGTAGGATAAAGACAATGCATTCCAAGTGGGTAGTGGAGTCAATCAGAAACCTAGTCTGCACAAGAATTGTAATTTGACCCTGATGTTACGTGTAAAATGCTAAATAACCATTGTAATTTTCTGTGAGAAGGAAAAGATATGTTGAAAGGCTATTGTTTTCTGCTGCTTTCTGATTGGCTCCACTACCCAAAGTCGAAATATATTGCTTTTATTCTATAATTTGATTGGTTCTCGCTGGCTAAGTAGCCTCAGTTATAGCAGTCGCACTGTAATGAATGTAGCTATTTGGGTTACCTAGTCTTGTCTGTTCGAAACTAACCAGCGATCTGATTAGTGGAAGCACACAATAGACCCTTTTCGAGTTCCAAATTACCGCTGTGTTTCTTGCTTACAGACTCATTTGTTCAGGCTAAGCCTCGAATCAGTGTCTAATTACTCGCAAATACCAACGGTAAAGAATGCGCACAAGTTCAACAATACGAGCACTTTGAAACTTGACGGACCTTGACTGGAAAACGTGAATATTCTTCTGTAATCAAGAAACACAGTGGTAATTTGGAACTCGAAAAGGGTCTATTGGTTAAAATATTTGATTGTGATTGGTGAGAAAATTCGAGAGGTCGAAACGAAACGTAATTTGATTGGCGGACTGAAATACACGGGGTCGAAACTAAAACGCAACTTATTGGTGCGAAAATTCACGAGGTCGAAACTAAGACGCAAATTAATTAGCGAGAAGTTTCTAGTCGAAATTAAAAAACGTTATCTGATTGGCAGAAAAACACTAGGTCGAAACTAAAACGCAATCTGATTGGTGCAAAAATTCTTGAGGTCGAAACTAAGACGCAATCTTATTGGCGGAAACATCTAACGGGTCGAAACCAACCCACACTTTGCATTGAATTGGCGCGCTCCGCAAAAGAATCGTCTATTTTATTATTAATAAAGGCTTCTTCCAGGAAAAGGAAAATCCCGCCGAGATTGAACCCAAGGAGCCAGCGTGGAAGAGAGAAGCGACTAAGGCTAGAGAAGAAAGAGAAGCCAAGAAGCTAATGGAGCAAGCGGTTAGTATTTTGGCCACAAATAGTCCCTTTTTTCTCATACCTTAGATCTGGTTGAAAAAACTGCCTAGTCATCCTCTTTAGACTTATTAGACTTATTTTTAAATATAATTTATTTATTTATTTATTTATTTATATTTATTGCTCTAGAGCGAAGGCATTTAACCCGTGAAATAAAAAATACTAGTCAACGTGTAATAGTCAAATAGACACAAAAGAAAACAATGGAATTAGGGTCTACTAAAGTGTATTAGTCTGACTGCTCTCAGTCTGACCTCTACCTCAGCTGGTAGTACAATTCCGAAGGTCGTAGGTTCGATTCCCAGCGAGGTCGGAAATTAATTTTTCCGAATTTAATTCCAAGGGCTTTCGCCCGGAATAACCTCGTTCCCTAGCACTATAACTTATCTATATTTCTATATCTTCATGTATTTCATAAGTGCTATGCGGTCCACATATTCTCATCTTTGTATTAGTCTAACATATATTTCACGGGTTTAATGACTTCACTCTATTATAGAGTACAAACACTAAAAGTGTGTAACATAAATACCACTAAATACTGCTAAATTATGCTAATCCTATTGTTTTCTATTGTTTAATTAGCACTATTTACTTTCAAATAGTGCAAAGTGTTGCACACTTTTAGTGTTTGTACTCTAGTATCTGTGAATAACTGAATCATAAGCGAAGCTTAGCCCGTACGAATAAGCCTACTGTCTTCAAAATCAGCGGTATGCATCGAATGTGAAACTGGTGATTAAACGTGTTGTGCTATAGTTGATCAATTGTAATGTTTGTCGTATATTGCTTTCCAAAGACTCCTTCCCCCGGCAGAGTTGCCAGAGAGAAAAAGGTGCCACCGCCAGTACTAGGGAAGCCCGACGAAATCATCGAGAAACGAAAATCTTGGCTAAGAGAAGACATTAAGAAACCCGAAGGCGCGCCGTCAGAAGAGGTCAGCGGTCTCCGCAAAGAGGTAACGGATTTACGAGCGCTTTTAACTAACATAGAAAAGAAGATGGCCGCGATGGAGCGAAAACACGAGGAAAAAATCGAGAGTCTTGAAAAACGTCTTGAAAAAGATATTGAACAATTAACTAGTGATTTCGACGAAGAGCGAACGAATCACGCTCGGTTAAAGATCGAGGTCGATCGCTTAAAGAAGAAAATGCGTCGTGGTTCAGGTTCTATAGATGGTGACGAGTCTTCGCAAGCGTAAATTTAGCTTTTTTATAAATAGCGCTGTTTTAATAAAGATCTGGGAATGATTGACAATTGTCGTATCAAGGCCTTAACAAATTTGGTACTGCGCGGTCTGATATATGAGAAAAAGCCTGGGAAGGAGATGGTGTGGTCGTCTAGTTATTTAGGTAATGTTTAAAAAAATGTTCATTAGACAGAGTTAGCAAAAGATTTAAAGCTGATTGTTGCGTCCTCACCTGGCTGTTGAGGACGCGTCTGCTTTGCTACTACAGTCTAATGAAATAATATCCATTGCGTATCCATGGAGAACCTTGGGACATTCTACTTTAAAGGAATTACATCCGGGAATCGTTTCACTTGACAATGATCTCACATTCGCTCTTCTGAAGCTCAAAACGAGGCTGGTATCGACCTTGTGGCGACAGGAATTATGGGACTAAGTACAAGGCGAGGTCACAGAGATTCGCATCTCGCATTTCAAATTCAACCCCACAATCCTTTGCAGAACAAGGTAGTCACCAGTCCTCCTTTTAACATAGATTATCAATTACATTATGATTTCTTTGTGGAGAGATTCACACAACCAACTCCTCCTTGGGTTCCCAAGGGCGTGGTCCATGATATTGTTAACAAAAGTTTAAGTGTGGTATAGTTAGATATTGATAATTAGATATAGTAGTTAGTATAATTGATATCCAATCGTTCTGTTGGAATATATAAGGTTTTTTCCAAGGAAATCTTTGTCTTTCTCCAAGATTTCTTAATGCAATTCACTTCCGGTATATTTTTGGGCTGTACTTCCGGTACATGAAAAAATTTGCCTTGCCGGTGTCCTTAGACAAAGGTCGTACTCCAGTTTATACACATCGAGCTGTTACTCTGTTACCCTTGTTCACTATATCGTGGTTGCTGTAATGGACTACTTTGACGATACGGCGGCCATCTTGCCAGAGGCCAAAACAAAAACAAAGATGACGGAAAATATATAGATTTTCGTGTGTTTGTCTTTCTTTTACGGGCAAAGGTGATCGATGTGTACCTTGGGGTCCAGAGATTATTTATTCTCGCTCCTGCGTTTCGAGAAGCGAAATAGAAGCTGTGGAGCCCAGGGTAATCGACGTGTAATTCATTTTTTGTCGTATTCTCTTGTGGTGAGATGTTGATATCAATCGACGTCATTACTGTAAAAAAGCTTTATTTGCCCCCTGGACGCCCTATAATGCCTTGCGATACAAGATGTCCGCCGTATCGTCGAAATAGTCCATAAATTTGGCCGAGCAAACGATTGAGAACAATAGAGACCCACTTTTGTTTAGTAAAAAGAAATATTGCGAGCGCAGGAAATAGCAGTTCTCTTCAGTCTCTTTTTGCAAACTCCGGTCGTCTTCGCCGCGCGCATTAATAAGAGTGGGTCCAGTTCTAGAAAGTTTGTGTATTGGGTAGTTTTGATTGGGTTTCCTGATGTGTGATATGTCTGAGGTGGAGTGAGGCGAGCAGCTGATCCTTGGACAACTAACACAACGGAAAACCCAGGTGTTTGTAGGATGGATCGTCTTCCAGCCTACCGACTTTTTTGTCATTTAAAACATCAGTAATGATGCCAATCTCAAGCCCAGAGTCTTCCGGGCTTTTGGTCAGCGGACTTGCGCTGGTAAGACTCTTACCAGGCGCTGACGACAAAGTAGGAAGGCGCTGAAGGACTCTGGGTAGGAGATTGTAATTATGCACCATGAATCGAGGAAGTTTGTTTGTTCCAGAGCTGCAGCCCAAAGGTCGATTTTACTGAACTCGTTAAAAAAATGATATTAGCCATTCCGAGGTTGAGAAAAAAACTGGGTCGAGTTTGAATTGCAGTGCATTGTGGGTTTAAGAAGACATTTATTATATAGTGTCTAATTCGTTCCCTAAAACAGTCCCACAAAACAATGCAATACGAAATCAGCCAAGTTTTCCCCTCAACTTGGACATGACCGAAATACCTAAAGTCTATCCTCAATGGACGTTTTTAGGTGGATGAAGACGGCCATACTTGATTGTCATTTGGAGAGAATTTCGTATAAAAACTCGCTGTACGGAAGTGGCGTGCCATGTTCAATAAGTAATAATTTTGCGCACTTTGGTTAAATAGAAGGTGATGATGCCGTGCTTCGCCGTCATGCAGTCATACGAAATTTTCCCTTAGGCATCAAGCTACTTTAATGGTAATTCTTCAACGTGATTGGTCCATTGATTACTGGCTCGTGACGTTGCAATCTGTGATTGCGCATGCTCACACTAATTCACTCCAATCAACACTTCACTGTTATTACCATTATTCCAATGAAATAATAAAATATATAAATATGTTGGAACTAAGGGAGCCCAATTTTGATTTTTGTGTTTTGTATTTGAGTTAAGAGTAGTCCACTTACAATCTTGAAAGGTAGCCGTGCCTTTGCATCGAAGCGAGACGAACGGTGAGCTCACAGTGATAGAGACCTTTTTGTACTTCTTGGATAATTATTCACGTCTTTATTATTGCCAGCTCACTATACCTTTCAAGACGGCGCAGAGAACTGCGGAAGGGGCAGTAGGTTGACTTCCTTCTTTTTACTGCTGCCATGGAAACGTCAAATATATACGTCACGATCAATGTTGATCCAGCTGGACATAGCCGCCACAGGAAGTCCACGAAATTTGGGTGTGCTTTAGTCTTCAGAATTGTCTTCTCTAGCTCGAAAATTAAAATAAATTCCCTCGTGAATTATTCCTTACTACGACACTAAAACACCGATATTCTGAATATTGTGTGGCTTAATTTATTTAATTTTTGAATTAATAAAGTTTCAATGACGTCTCAAACGAACACCATTTCGGATTAAAGAAAAATTTCGCGGCTAAGCCGTTGTATTTTGATAAAGAAATTCACAGAATTCATTCTCAGTGAAAATATAAATAAATTTAACAGATTTTGTCTACCTCAAATATACGCTGTTTCGCGCGGTGAGTATAATTATCTTAGCTTGTTCTCATGCAAATAATACAAGAAAATTATTGAAAGCTTTTTGTTTACAATGCTGTCTTCTTACTAGATAGTGTAAAATGAATAAATAAGTGGATTTACTTTTCAAAAACTGTTCTGTTTGTTCATTGTTAGTTCCTCAGGAAATTTAGACAAATTAAAAACTCATACTTTACAGGTAAAAAGTAGGTGAGAAGTTTATGAAGCGTTCTCGTTAAGTCAATTTTGCCCAAAGTTTCAATATCTGAACGATACCATTTTTAGAGTGCATGGTGGCTTTTCTCCAGAAATGGCGAATCAAAGTCTTGTTTTTCAAGAGGGCCGTCTTCGAATATATCGCAGACCCTTGAAGGCTTCTCAGCTGGGACGCTGGTTTTTCTTCTCAGGAATAATTGTTCTTCTCCGTTATTGATATTCGCGAGGTTTTCGCTAGTGATTGCTGTATAACTTCTTCGTCTTGTGTCAAGATTGTTCTGTCCCATCCAGATCTTCCGTTCTCGCTCGACTGAAGTACTTAAACGGTCTAAAATCTTAACACCAGTTGAAGAACCTTTTCTTTTTGTCGAACTGTTTTCCGTTACAGCCTTTTCCGAATCTGTCGGTGTCGAGCAAGAAGGTTTCCCGTCTTGTCCAAGGCACTTGTAGTTGCTTTGCTCAACATTCGATATTTCTTCTTCACCAATGTTGTTGATTCTCAAATCGAGTGTCTCTTTACAGCCCCAAAATGAATCACCTTTATTCATCCTTTCTTTATTGTCGAAGTCCAGATTCAATTTATCGATAGAAAGAAATTCAGCCATTGATATAGCTAAAATAATCCCGAGAAAATTGTCCAACAAAAATCCTCTTCGAACAAACCTCGAAATAGATGAATTCTATAGCATGCACGTCAACTATATTGCAATTCTTTGAGAAATAAGATAAATTCCGGAATAGAAAAAGTTTTTAAGCCAAAGAGAGACAATATTATCGTGCAATATTGCTTAATGTTAATGAAAAATAAAACTGGTATGAACTTATTTAGTTTGTTAGCCGCCAACGTGTGTTGTTTTTCGTTTTCCAGCTGTAGCAACATATAACACTCGATCTACATTTAAGTGGAAATCTTTCAACGGTTTCTAACATTTCATTGGTTTTCTATAACTGACACCTCGTCAAAGGAAAAACAAAAATTTAAAAATTTCAATCAACTCTATGCTATTTGATAATTTGATTGCTTCGGGATAAAAAAAGATTTATTAAGACTGATAAAGAGAGCAGAATATGCTTCTTGTTATTTTCTGGTAACCATTAAATTTGTTTTCACGTCGAAATGACTTCCTAATTTTAATGATTTCCGTAATTTTGCAGAATAATTTTGCCAATTCAGTTGTGCGGGGATAAAAGCCGAGAGAGTGTTTGTGATGTGACTGGGATTAAGCTTTTGTAATCATCACTCTCAAATGCAGCACTTTTCTCCAGACATGGCGACCATTAAACAACAACAACTACGGCAATAGTAGTATCTAGAAAGAAAAAGAAAGAAATAATACAAAAGCCGCTATCGATAAATAAAATAAGCTTATTTCATCCTAACCTTGAGAAAAACCAAAAAACCAGAAGGTGAATCAAAAGAAAAACTGGAAAATCGCGTTTCTTACATTTTAACCAAGATGGCGACTATGACGTCACAAGAAATCGAGCAATTTACTTTTCGTTTATATTTTCAATAGTTACTTATTATTATTTCATATTCTCTTGATAATACTAAATAACATAAAAAGCAGGAGCTAAAAAAGCTAAGTTAGAAAGAAAAGAAAGGAAAAGAGAAAAAAAAAAAAAAAAAAGA